CTGTATCTTCATGAGATACTCACTTTTCCTTCAGGTACCTGCCTAAATTGGGAGACTCTGCTTCCCCTGAAGTCAGACATAGAAAGAGGCCACCCAGCAGATTGATCCAAAAAGTTCCACACATTCAAAAGGAAGCTTCCATCTGACTGGAAGACTCTCATTCTCTATTGTGTTTATAAGGACAGTAGGAAAGCTCACTTTAACTAAGGCAGCTGCACTATTTGTCTGCAGTGTGCATGCATGTCAGTCTCTGGTGTGCTTCAGTTCCAGCCCAAAGCGAGGAATGATGACACCACAATCTCAGAGTGCTCTCAGGGGAGCAGGCACAGGAAGAAGGGCTGGGAGAGCCAAGATACTGCAGTAGTGTGGTTGTACAGGAGACAGACAGTGATCTGAGAGATTTGGGATGTGGAGCTGGGAAGCTTATGCAGCAGATTAAAATCACTTTTGGATGCTCCTGTGGGAAGAACCAGTCCATCCAACAGTTTTACCTCATGTCCTTGGGAGGCTCCAGATGCTCGATACACCAACACCTCTGTAACTTTAATTTCACCTTGAAGGGTTTCAGGCATGAATTTTAAATGTATTGTACTTACCCTTCTACACTACATCCATACAAACACATACAGCATTAACTATTTCAAGGTCCCCACAGAGAGCTGTTAGCAAAGACAGAACATGGGCCAGCACACGACTGAAGCCACATGCACCATCTGCTCAAACATTTTAATGTAATTTACCAGACAAGAGCTGAGCAGAAAAAAAAACCTGATAGATGAAAGAGATTAGATTTCCCCTTCTCCAAAATACCTCCTGCTGCTTGATATATGAACCTAACTCACCCATAACTAATATTTCATTTAAGAACATATTCAAAAATTTAAAAAAAGTCCTGTGCCTACAAGGAAGATAACATTGACATAATTCTTCTTTTAATCTGCTACCCATTGAGAACTGTCCAGACTGATAATCCTATTGCCAAAACAAAAAAGTGGACTAGTTAAGAACTTTAAAGTTGTTACTTCCACTCAAAGAGCAATTTTGATGAACTTCAATAGATGAATAAAGAAACAGAAAGATTTATTTACTGCAGCATTGAAGCCAAACAAGTTCTACATGTTAAGATTTGCATTTGGCTGAAGGTGGCAGCCCTGGGCCTAGTACTATTTGAATTTTGGGAATAAATCCTGCAATTGATCAGTAAAAGGGTTTCCAAATGGCAAAGACACTTCAAAAATCAGGTTTCGTGGCAAACGACCTTCCACCTTTTAAAACAAAAGCAATGATTTGAAGAACTTATGACAAACTCCTTTTGTCATGTTCAAAAGTATTCATGAAGATGTTTACACAGGGTTAGCAGTATTTCCTCTATAAGAAATACTCACAAAATTAACAAGAAACTAGGGCAACTCCCCTTGCTATAAATTCAGCTGACATCTCCTCTTCCAAACCCCTACACTATTCCCTACTCATTTTAAGCTGACAATAAAAAATAAAATTTAAAAAAACCCATAAATAAATAAAATCAGTTTTGTAAGACTGTAAATATCACTGTTAATTTCTGAGGTGAAAGGTAGAAAAATCTGCATATAGCAGCCAAGTTCTACCAATTCCTCTTGCTGGTACCCTAAATACAGCCTTCATGATTCATGATTTTAGGAAATGATACCTTAACCTGAGCTGCTCCCCAGAGCTAAATGTCTGGCTGTGTGCCAGGATGCTTCAACCACCAGTGAGCAATCAAAAGCCATCATCTGCAGCAGTCATCATCCCAAAACCTCCCCTTCTTTTTCAACTCAAGGCTCATTAAACATCAACACAGCAAAATTAATATTAAAAATTATAAGAAAAGGAAAAAAAGAAGCCTGGAGAAGATGCATGCAGGAGTGATCATGATTTAATGTATGGACAGGCTCTCATGTAGGGAGGGACTGTCTGACCAGCAATCTTTGGCTTGGAAAAAAGTCAGTGACAAGACCTAAAACTGAAATCTAAACAAATATTGAGTGGCTTAAACAAGGAAAAAGAAAGAAACACTCACTAACTCTTCTGGCATGACAGAAGAGCTCTAACTGTATCTCTAAGTTGTTGGTCCGAACAAGAAAGAAGTGATTCCTTATGCAAGTTGGTCAATTTAAGACATTACAGAGAGTACTGGGACTCAAATATTTCAACAAATGAATGGAAGAAAATTCCACAGTGACTACTGAAAGCAAATGTACCATTTTCAGCTCAGGAAACACACAGCTGCAGGAGCGCATCAGGGAAGGATCAGTATAACCATGTCTGTTCTACTCACATGTAGGCACTGGCTTGGGAAGTCACCATGATATAGCAATTGCCTTGGATTTGAGGTTGGATCTGGTGTGTCACCCTTACATAATTTTATTGCATACCTCAGGAGAGTTATATTGTATAGCATGAGAAGTCTTACCAAAAAATTATGGAATTATCTTCTTTTTGTTGTTTGTTTATGGGTTTGGGCTTGTTTTGGGGTAGGGGGGAGAGTGTTTGGGTTTGGTTAAATTAAAAATTTAATTTTTAAATTATTTGGCTTATAACCTCATGGTTTTGAGGTAAACTTTAGTTCAATATACTTGCTTCCATCCTCAGCTAACATATTCTGCAACAGTGAGCACTGAGAACATTGCCATTGATTTCCATCAGCAAAGGATCACACCCTAACTGCTTCCAATTTCACAGTTACTAAGCAACACTAAGTGATCACAGCCTCTGAGCAAGCAACGTCCTGTATTCAAAGGTTTGAATTGTACAACTCCATAAAGACTTGGAACTTGGGCACCTACCAACGAACACCAGCTTTGCAAATCTTTGGTAACAAACTCTTGAAGTACAGAAATACATACCATGGGTGCTGCTAATTGAAATTAGCTCTACTGAACCACAAAATTTCCTTGTATACTCATCATGAACCTGAAACTGAGAGTACTTTCTAATATATTGCAAAGTTTCTGTATTTTTCCCAGGATTAACCAGAACAAAACTCCTTTTCTTTCTATTGAAATTCATACACAGCACTCCTATTAAAGTTATGTATTTAGGTATAAAGATGAAAAAGATAGCACACAAAACCAGGAAGTTAAACACCATCAGCCTTAGGGGAACAGGTAACATCATCCCTTACAATTCATTGCATCTTTGGAGTACTGCATATTTTTTTAATGATTACATAAAAGCACTGTAAAAGGATTTTTGTTTTTCTTTTAAAATAATATCAGTGAGAAATACTGTCACTGTTAGAAAATAGTAAATAGCACCATATTTTTCTTTTTTTGTTGTTCTAGATTTTCCTGAATGCAAACAACTCTTAAAAAATAATCAATAGCTAGATTTGATTTAATGAAGATGGTACTTGCAGACTTTACTGAATTATACTTGCTTATCTACACACCAAGACAACAGAAACCTTGCTTGCTGCTAACATGGAAAATCTGAATGGTCCAGAAGACTGGATCCATTACCCAGAGAATGACTAAGAATGAGGCTAGCTGTTCTCCCTTGGAAAATCCTGATCTGGTCTAACATTTAAAAAATGTGAAATTTCAAGGGTGAGAAAGTGCTATGGAAGCCCACGCATGAGAAAGCTAAAAAAAACAAAAAGTGCTGTAGAAACCTCTGGTGTTTCATGTACCTCCATTCACATACACTCAAAAATGTATACAGTAATTGTTCTGAGACACAGTTTAGCTCTTTTCACACCCATTAGAGGATCCTAATCAGAAGAGCTGAGCAACATAAAAGCTTTTGAAGCAGAAAGCCTGGACACTGATGTGTTATATCTAATGGAAACAATATTACACAGCAGTCTTTCACTTCCGAAACTGATTAGAAGCCGTATTGTATTTACCACACTATGAAGATAATAACCTGAGAGAACATTAGCATAAATCATTAGTTCATTGTTGGGGGGAAACTCTGGAAGAGGATATCTTTCCAAAAGGAAAATTATCACATTAAAATGCAAGCAAACTTTGAGGAAAACAAGCTGTGCCAAGTAAATGGTGCCAAAATTAAGTAATTCGTAGTTATCATACTTGGTCTTCAAGAGGAAGATTTCAGAGCACATGAAAATACAACAACAGCTTAGCAAACCAATGGGAAAAAAATAAACTGAGTGTTACATTGGCTATCTGAAAGCCCACTTGCTGGAATTAAACAGATCGTATTCCAAAAGACTCATGTACCTAATGAATAGTATTAGGAAGACACTGAACAACGCAGGACTGAGCACATGTAGACTTTCCTGTGCTTACTAAAAATTGCCTATCCTCAGTAAATGAAAAAGCAAGCATGCAAAATTCTCCATATAAAAAATAATTAGAAAAAATCCACCCAATTCTCCTCTCCTTCTTTAATACTTATGTGTCAGTTTTAGAAAGCAAAATGGTCAGGTGACATTGCTCTGTAACAATTTCAATTAAAGTAAATGATGTTGCTTTTAATGCAATTTACAGCCTCATAAATAACCAGCCTGAGGAGAAAAGAGACAAAACAAAAGAAAAAAAGCTACCCACCATTTGCCCAGCAACCAAATTGCAATATGAAAGATATCACATGCCTCTTTCCATGCTTTAGATACAGAGGAGTATTTTGATATTCCAAATACCAAGGGATGTTATTTGCTATTGATACTTTTAAGTCCTTACTAAGAATGCACTTGACATCTCTTGGGAAAGAAAAAAAAAACGCCGCACGCCCTAACTTGCAGGCTTTCTTTTAAAGCTGACATCTGTCTGTCTCCTTACTGCACAAAATAAAAGGCAAGCCTTCTGTTTGCAGGCTTCAGGTCACTTGCTCAGTTGCTACCCTCAAATCACAGCATGCAAGGGCTGCATTCCACCTGAGGAGTATTTGTGGCAGCTGCCACGCAGGGATGTCTGTGCTCACCAGGGTAGAAGGGGGCATTCCAGGCTGTGAAGCTGATTGCGCTGGAAGTGTTCGCTAACAGAGATGTCAATGAAGTAAAGGAGTTTCAGTACCTGAGTTAACAAGCTGCTGCTCCATCACCCCGCAGCCCAGGACCTCCATCCATTCTCCTTGGAAGTTGATTTCCATCTCAAAGGAAGGGTGAGTAAATGGGAAGTAGCAATCTACCCATCTGACTTGCAGTCCTGTAGTAGTGTTTAAAAAATAAATAAATATGAAAGGGTGTATGCTTAGAAGGCCATCCCTCCAACCATCTGTAAAACTTGCCCTTCAACTAATGACATGAATTACAGCAATCCAGAGAAAATAAATAGCAAACAAACTAATTTACAACACTTGTGCAAGGTGATAAATCTAAAAACCTGTGGAAAAAAATGGCCATGTCTTTTCTAATATGAAAAATGCTTTGTGCAATTCAAGCACCCTTTGAAACCAAATCAATCATTTGTCAAACTCTAGCAACCACCTGGCATCGAACAAAAATGAGCCAAGATAATGGGAAAGTCAGTAATTTCGTTATTCTTTGCACCAGGAAATGACTAACTGCTTCTCACAGGAAAAGCTAAGTCTTTAATTTTTACTTAGTATTTTATAGATAGTCTAGGCAAGTAATTTTTTTTCATCAAAACTTAATTAAAATACAGAGCAAGTCTCTCTGTATATGTTTAAAAATGAAAGTTAAAAATAGAGATTAATATACACAAATAGAAATATATTTTCACAGAGTTGCACATTATTAAGGTATGCAACACACACACACAGAGCATTCTGGACCCAGTAGATATGTGTAAGGGAAAAGCCCCACTTGGTAATTCCCACCATCCTCCCCAGCTCAGGACCTCTGCAGATACCATTGTGCAGAGCAAGGGAAGTCTGGGTATCTCAGAGCAGGGCAGCCAGAAGAGGGCAAGGTTGTCAGTGCTACCAAAAGCACAGTTGCTGTCAAAGCCCTCATTATATTTGATGAGTTTTAGTTCTTCTAATGATTTACAGATGCTTTGTTTCACTAAACAATTTTTCCTAACTATCAGGTGTCAGAAGTCTCAGAAACATGAACAGTAAAAACTAAAAAGAGAAATGCAAATTCTGTAAGCTAAGCTAATGCCTTAACCCCAAATACATCTCTTCAGTTAAGCCAAATGCTAATCAGAGTTAGGATCATTAAGAACCAGACAGGTCCAGCTTCAAAAATAAGGATCACTACAAAGGTAGTGTGGGTGACAGCAACTGTTAGCATTCCTGGTTTGATCTTCAAGTTTTTTGGGGGTTGTTTCATAAAAGGAATGTAAAACATTAAATTGCACGATTCATACTAGAAATTTTCTAATAAAAATATTTTATGTAGCCTCAAGAATTAGATCGTCATTGATTACTTCTGAAATATGAAATGTGGCTACAGAAACTAAAACAATTAATTACAAGAAAGGTGTACATGCATGGCCAAAACATTAAATACCTTGTAATAGTTAGAGGGAACTTTTCTAGATGCTACGAAATTTCAAATAGCAAGGCAGGTTTCAAAACAAATAGACTGGTACTTCTAGATTTTCTCTGCTTTCCTAAAAAACAATCTCAGGAAAGTATATGAGAAATGAAAAAGCCTTTTGTTAATTGCATATATAGAACTCAGAAAACTGGAGGTATTTGCAATAGTTTCATTCACAACTGTATGGTCACTTACAGCAATTACTTTATTACTCTTTTTTGTCTGCATGACAATAAAAAATACAGAGATGAAAAGAGTCATGTATACAACAGTATGGTGTGCAGAAAACATTTTTTTAATTTCCTGGTCTTGGCATTTTAATCCTTGGGCTATGCACATATAAAATATTCTCATTTAGCTTGCAAAATTTGCAACTGTAGCAACTACATTGACTGTTCAACTAGCTTGTGTTCAGTAACAACATTCAGATAATGGTTTCTTATTAATCCTCTGATTACTTAAAAATGAAGCTCTGGGAAAAAAAAAAAAAAAGGATTCCTCAGCTGTTTGTTCTTAATTAAAATAAATTTTAAGAGGTAAAAAAATAATTTAAAGGTCTTTTTATTTTTGCATTTTAATGCATATCAGTACTTAAGAGACTTCTGTTTTAAATGCAAATAAGCAAACAAACAATATTCTGAAACAAAACAAATTCACAATGAAAAAACAACTCTCACCTTCATTCTGTTCTCTAAATTAATAGTTAATCCCACATACCACAATAATTTTATTCATACAGTATCTAGGCCATTTGGGAATATCTCTGTAGTTTATATTCAAGTGTTCTTTCAGACTTTTGGCTCTAGAAGACTTTACTGAAAAGCAGAGGGTGCTCAGCTTTTGGCAACATTAACTGTATTTCTATAGTGTCACAGAATAAATGGGTACATTTATTATTTAGATACAAAATATTGTCTTTGTGCTCAATATATTCCCAAGGAGTAAAGAGCATTGCTTATGCTCAGCAAATTAAACCACTCAGGACTTAAAAGGATTATGATGATTAGGCTTCCTCTAGTACTATGTAATTTTCCTGATTTGGCTTTATTTTTTCACATACAGCCTATGAAATACTGGCAAAATTGATCTTTTCTAGACATTTTAGGAGGCCAAGAGACATATATTTGTCTTAAAACAGTCACTTACAAGACCACAATGCTGAATCTAATTGAGGCCAGAACACTAGACACAAACTCTGTAACTTTTCCAATTCAGAGAAATTATTTGTGTTATCAGACACTAACACACCTGCTCAGTGTTCATGGGAGTGCTTCCAGTGGGTAGAGGTCCATTCATAATTGTGCTGATTCTGGCTGAACACCATGTTCCCAGCAAAGCTGCTCTACCACTCCCCTACTCAACTGGACCAGGGATAGGAGGTACAATGAAAGGTGCATGGGTCGAGATAAGGGCAGGAAGAGATCACTCACCAATTACAGTCATGGGCAAAACAGACTTGACTTGGGAAAATTTGTTGAATTTATTACCAACCAAATAGAATAATAATAATATTGAATAATGGGAAGTAAAAACTAACTCTTGAAGACAACTTCCCCCATCCCTCCCTTCTTCCAGGCTCAACTCCACTCCCAAAATCTCTATCTCCTCCTCACCAGCAGTGGGGATGGGAAACAGGGGCTATGGACAGTTCTATGGATGCTAGCTTTGGAGCAGGCTGCAGGCCCATGGCCTCTCAGTCCTGCCTGAGAAGCTAGCCTGGGAAATTCATAGGAGGATTTCAAAACAATCCTCAGAGACAGAAAACAACTGCCAGGTGCTGTTTGTCTGTCCTCTTGTTTTCCTTGCAGGGGGGTGGTGAGCCCCACTGACCAATGATGGTGATGTAGCACTTTGCTAACCAATAAGAGTTTCTTTTCTGTACTTTTCCACGTATCTGTCTATAAGACAAACCTAAAGCAATAAACTAGAGAGGTTCTCCTGTTGTGACTCCCTTGAGAGTCTATGTCGTTCTTTATCGCCGTTCCCAATCAGAACGACACAGTTCATCCCTCATTTTCTCTGGGAGTCTTCCCCTGCTCCAGGGTGGAGTCATGCCGACCAAAGAAAGTCCTTCATTAATTGCACCAGCATGAGCCCCTTCAATAGCATGCAGCCCTTCAGGAACCTGCTCCAGCACGGGTCTCTCCACAGGGCCTGCCAGAAGCCTGCTCCAGCACAAGTTTCCAACAGGGTCCCACCCTTCTTTGGGAGTTCACCTGTTCCAGCATGGGGTCCTCCATAGGCTGCAGGTGGATCTCTGTATCCCCAGGGACCTCCATGGGCTGGAGGGGCACAGCTGCTTCACCATGGTCTGCATGCTGGGCTGCTGGGGAATCTCAGCTCAGCTACCTGGAGCACTTCCTCTCCCTCCTTCTCCACTGACCTTGTGTCTCAACAAAGGTATCTGAAGGGCTGTTTCTCACACATCTTCTTGTTCCTCTCCTTGCTGCAAATTATCAGGATGTTTTTTTCTCCCTTTTAAAGTGTGTTGTCCCAGAGGTGCTACCATCACTGATGGGCTCAGCTTTGGCCAGCAGTGGGTCCATCTTGGAGCTGGCTGGCACTGGCTCTGTCACACATGGAGCAAACATCTGGCAGCTTCTCACAGAAGCCACCCCTGCCATCTCCCTGCTATCAAAACCTTGCCATGCAAACCCAATACAGTAACTTATATGTCAGATCAGTATGGAAATAAGTGAATAATCACTGTTATTTCTGAACACTGAATCCAGATAAGGAACTGATCGTAGACTGCACTCAAAAGTAATGCGCTATCAAATATTAAGCTAAACAAGTGCCAGCCAAATTGAGTCTCATAATGGAATATGCTTGACCAAAGACACTGAAAAAGAAAGAAAAGGCAAAAAAGAACAAGCCAAACACATTAAAGCAGCCTATTGCTACACTACAGCACAGAATCAACAAAGCCTGAGACCCAGATGGTCTTCACTGACCAGAAATTCTCTTTGTTGCTGTGAGGATTATTTTTAGAGATGAGGCTGTGGAAGAAAAAGGAGAGGGGTGCAGGGAGGGTGCTGGGAAGCACAGAAGGTATTGAACTGTGGCTTCTTAAGGTGTGTGTCAATTTGTAAGTACTCTGCACCTCATTGTTTCAGATATTTCATCATACTTCCAGCAGGCAGGAGCTGGCTGCCCACATAAACCTGCATGAGCTCACATTTTTTAGAAGTTATTAGCCAGACCATTGTGTCCTTGATAAATGATTTTTTTTTTTTTAACTTGTTACACTCATAGATCTCCATGCACTCAAAGAAGGTATCAGTACCACAGATTAAGAAGCAGAATGAGCAGAACGTGTTTGATTTAAAAGATA